GCAGCGCCTAATGACTCTTCCGATTTGGATGTGTAAGTTGGCCGAGCCGGTTCTGGGAACCCTTACTACGCCTCTTGATGTTTTTCGACCCGACAGCATCCCTTAGGTTCATTCTAGGGTGAAATCTCAGAAACCATTTTTGACGGGTACCGTGCCTTCTTACTCATGAGTATCCGGCCTGCCCCACTGACCTACTTTTCCCTCTCAAACAGTGCATGTCTCATCTTCTGCTAAACTCACAAATTCAACAATATTTAATCTGTTAGGTGAGGAAAAACAAATACAACATCACATAAAACGCAACCAGACTATTAGATACATGTATTAGTACGCGGATTGTGGATGGGATGTGTAGGGAAAAGAAGCAGCAACGGAGCACTTTTCTCTGACACTGAAATCCTGACTACCTAAATTTGTCTCATACCGGTAGGGCACGCAAAGTATATGGCGTAACTCCCTTATCAACTAGATATCAATCAATCAATCAATCAATCATGATTATACGACGTATAAACAAAGCTCAAGAAAGGCTATTTGAACTTTGGAAAACAACACAACGCATTTGCTCTGAATACATCTGAAATTATAACACAATCTCTTAGACATAGAGCTGGTTATAAAAAATGGCGGCGGTGTGGCCCATTGAAGCCGGAACGAACCAAAAAAGCCGTCAACAAATTCCAGTGCATCAGAAATCTGAACAATTCGCCCCCGTTCCAGCTTCAGACACGCCTGTGTAGCCACCACAACTGCTTAAAACAACAGCCAACAAATAAATATCCTCTCAGAACATTGGAATCAATAAAATTTGGATACAAAAGTAGTTACATCTCTCGATACACAGCTAACAACGACGAAATCAACATGATATATCTGATATTACTGCCTGATATTCATCGCTAATGATTACTATATATGATGAGCCTTTGCGAGCAGAATAAGAGGAAGAAAAATTGCTGTGGAGTGCATAGAAGGGCAGATGATTCACGGATAAGACTAGTTAGTATACACAACAAACAAAACAATTCTGTACAGCCAAACATTCTGTAAAACCAGAACATGTAATATGGAAGAATTTTCTCGAGCCCAGCCGGCGATAAAACTCGTGCATGCTTTACATTCGGAAACCGAATGCCTCGATAAATTGCACGATGAAGTCTTCTTTATCGCCCGAAAGCGGCTCATTATCGAAGGTGTCACATCGCTGCGATCGGCCATGATTTAGGTCGGCTGAAAATGCTTATTATGAGGTATTGCTCTATATGACATATGAAGTATGACAGAAAGTTTAAGCAGAGTGGCAGTAGTGTAGTGGCAAGCGGTGCATCATTACCAATGCATGGTCACGGATTCGGATCCCGGATCGAAATCTGCCTAGGTTAACTAAGCCTTCTATCCCTCCGAGGTCGGTTAGTTGGTGCCAGACTCGTCTGGGAGGATAAAGGCATTGACTTCTACATCGGCTGACCACCGAAAGTTATTGTATGGGCCATACGCAGTCAATACGCCACTACGATTCTGAATTGAAGGCGAATGCGGGGCACATCCCTCAGACGAGATTGATAAAGTCAAACACTTGGTTCTTCATCCTTTTACGACAGAAAACTTAGCAACTCACCATCAAGCCATAGACCATAATGCCCTCCTCCAGCACCGATCGAAAGCGAATCTTTGGCGGCATTCACAAAGAACTGGTTCTCTCCTGTCCAGTTATAATGCCGCAAATCTCTGAAAACAGTCAAATTCGTAAATGGTCACGAAGGCCATAACGCTTTCCATTCCCACTCCACAGTGAATTCAATGAATTTAAAGAAAAAAGCCTTGACCAACCTGGTATGTGGGGCCTCGCCGAGGAATCGCCATAAAAGGCATGAGTCGCCGGTGCCCATGTAATGATCAGAAGGGCGAATCGCACCCGACACTACGGCTCCAAATACATGCTCACGAGTATCGCGGACAATTAGGAGCACGGGCGAAAGATCTTCATCGAATTCGACCATTTTTCTGAAAAACAGAGCTTCATAGATTTATTGAGGATATCTAGTTGAGCTCATTTTTGAGACACTATAAAGCATTGAAGCTATGTTTAACATAGAGGGCTACAGTTGTAGATAAAGAGAAGTCCTCTTGAGCACGTACATCCCCGAAAAGGAAGAGTAGTACACACTAGTATTATCAAATTTGGATTTCAGTTAGTATTAAATGTGCGTCCCGCAATACGATTACCCAAGGAATGCTTCGAGTGGCACTACGCAGTCTATTCAAAAGTGAAAAACGCGGATACTACAACTCTTGTTACAAACCAGCTTTTTATATAAAAGTTTGCATTTTCCGGGAAATCCTGTTCTCACTCAACCACAGAATCAAAGAAAGGGCAAACGTTTGCGTCGATTAGTGTTAGTGGAACGTTTACAACACCCCAACTCTATCCAGATGAGCCAAGCCACCTGCACGAGCTTCAAGAGCGAATTCCGGTATGAGAACGCCCACGTGCGCTGGGGTTTTTGGAAACTTCATCAGTGCTCTAACTCGTAGCCTCGTAAAACACTCTTATAGACTGATATTTAGTTTGGAACGGGTCTACCGGATACAGGTACTGCTCGGAGAATCGGGTAGGAGATGATGTTACTTCCCAAGGATCACATAAGCTGATAGTTACGCAGGCAGTCCTGGCCATATCCTGCCGGAAGCTATACATATAAAGGACTCCCGCTCCACTTCCTTCAGCTTTTCCTCATTTCTGAGTTCCTTTCCATGATAACGCCAAAAGTACATAGAAACTCCTTGATATTTTCGATCAAGCTGTTCAGGGACTTGATACACAGCGATACACAGCATCATAAACAAACTAGACGTCATTGTCACCGACACTCGTACCCACGAAATTCGTCAAGCAACCGCATTGCACACAACAAGACATTTGTCTAAAAAAGTCCTCAGAGAATTTCTTACGCTTGTCACTGCAACTTCCGCGCCGCCATCACAACGATTTTTCTTGGTCACCACTTTCACACGTCCTCGCCAAAACACCCACTCATACGAAAACAAAGGCTCTGTGAGAGGATATATTTGAAAAAATCAGACCCGGTCTGCGACAAGTCTTCTTTTCTCTCCATTCCAGCATTCCTCCCATTCCCCCCTCCCCCGGCGTAAGGAGAGTAATTCTTGAAGGACATTTTGTCAGCGACTGCAGAGGAGACAAGGATGCACTTCACAGCTTAATAGTTCGGGCATGGAACAGTTGCATTAAATTAGATTCAAGAAGACGATGAAGAGGAGAAACGGCATGAAATAAAGAGGGAAACGCCCAACCGAGCAGTAACGATTACACAAAATGTAGGGCCGAGATGAAAGGGCAGCATTTCATATGGATCTGCTTAGTGAAAGGGAAATCAGAAGAAGAAGACAATAGCCCATAGACGAGTCTTCGTAGACTACGGTATTCATCTAATTGCTCTTCTCTCATTGCTAAAAGCTGATTCCGCCAAAAGTTCCTTCCTACAGAAAACTGGCAGAAATCTTTCACAATAGCACTGATTGGTAAGCAAACTGAACAACAACAGGGAGAACTTTTGCCGGAATCAGCTTGAATCGTTGATTGCTCGTTTGTCCGTCGGTAGACGGCTGACTTTTCCAGCTTTGCCGCCTTTATTGAAAACATCTATAGGTGTTCGATCATGGGAATGATAATAAAATCTATCCATGCCCTTACCCAAGCCATACTTCACCCCTCTTCACTTCTTTTCACAGAACACTACCAGAACACCACCCTAATGAAGTGGAATTCACTTTTGCCAATGCTCTCAATATGCTGTCATTTAGTACAACGATGACATCAATCAAAAGGCTCGCACTAATCTCCATCAAATTGAATTTTTTATGACTGCAGAAATAATTTGACATTTCAAAAATGATTAGCAAAAGGTAGAGCGAAATGAAAAGGAAGTACATACCTATAGAGAGTGGTCAACGAGAATCCATGCTTCTCCGAGTTATATATGCTCACCCATGGATAACCTTCAGCACGAGGAGGAAGAATTTCCATGATCTGAAAAATGCATCTGAATGGGAGATTCGACAATTTCGAAGACAAAACTCAGTCTTTTCCGATTTTTAGAAGACTTTTCGCTAGTATATTAGCCTAATCTGTATGGGCAGGTGGCAATGTCGGCATGGGTTATATCAGCTTCAAAATGAGGGTTTTCAAGTGTAGAAAACTGATGTTAGGAAAACAGGTGGACTCGTTTAGGAGACCACCATCTGAACTTGTCCCAGATATATTTCCACAGCTACTCCCACGTGTTTCGGTGTTCCTTCGTTGAAATTGAACAAAAATCAGCCAAGCACTCAGGTGAATTCGAGTCCTCCAAGGCAAACACTGGATAACCAACCAAAAACACTTTCTCACGACATATGCATTTAGATAATGCACGCGCTTACAAGGAGATTTGCACTGAAATCTGTTCAAGGCCATCAACATTTCCGATTCGCATACAGCACTTAACTCCCATTCAGAATCGCGAAGGAACTTAAATGCCCTTATGGCCCGAATAATAACCCCATACTTTCGAACAAACTGGTGTCAACCACGCGATCTTTCTTGGGAAAGGGCTAAACAGGAAGCGAATGAGTTTGATCCACGGAAACACCACGTACCCATGGCGCTCTAGTCTCAAGAAAGTCTTTTTCAGCTTACATATCGATCAGAATAGCCGCTTATCATTACGCGGTTGTCTAGTTTTGGAAGTCAAAATGAAAGTTCACCCTAAATCAATCAAATTTAGGTAATCCTCGGCTCATTTCAATACTTCTCCGCTCACCCATTCCAGGCAATCAAAAGCTGAGTAAAAGGTATCGCGTTCCTTTTTGCACAGTCACTTCCTCCTCCTAAGCCCACGCACTCTCCCTCATTACGCTATGCAAATTGTACTGAATTTAGAGTGCTTAAAGTCGCAATGCCTCTACTGATCTTTAATTTTTGACAAAAAATATGAACAGAGCTCGGAACTGATTCCTCTGACGCAATACTTTCCCAGTTCATTAGTGGGACCGATCGGATAGCCGAAGAGACGAGCACACCACCACTGAAATTTCTGAGCAAACTCGTCGGCCCAGGTGTTAATGCGGTGGGGACTGAGCCATTAACGAGCTATCGCAATAATTACGCCTACCCAACCGAACGTAGCCTTCTTCACTTATTGAGGCACTTAGACAAGGGGCAGAGAAGGTAAAAAAGAGAAAAAAGTCTCAGCAATGCTCAAAGATTGCAAGATTTTCGCAATTACCACGACTAGTGAGTGCTAAGCGTCAATTCCTGCAAAAGCGATACTACAGAAAGCGAAATTGGACGAATCCATTCGAATGACATGCCAGAGCGCAATAAAACGCTGCTCTTCGAGCTAGTTTCGAAGGGCATGTACGGCTAGGTTTACCTTCGAAGGTTACAGCCGTGTTTTGGGGTTGTTCTTGGTTGGACATGGAGCAGATTGGGCTTCAGCAAGAGCTAGAGAAGGTACGACAGTTTTAAGTCCTTATCCCAGGCATACAATCATTACCTCACCTCCTGGTTGGAAAGATGGAAGAGAGACTAGGTGCACTAATGACCCGAGCCTACAACGATCCTGTATATGTGTCAGCCAAAATGGGTTCCACTGATATTTATCCAAAGCTTATTTTCTCCTGGACGCACTATTCCTGGCCATATAAACTCATTCCAAAAGTGAACGCCACGCACATAATGTAACGACTTCCTTCCTTCTGGTACACCTCAAACAAGAGAGGTAAAGTTACTTATTCACTCTTTTCGCTTCACCTGGACAGATTCCGGGCAAAGGAAACACTTGTGACTGCTGCCACTTCATTCTAATTCTCAAAAAACTAACATCTGACCCTTTTCAGAACAATATCCTGAACCAGGAACTAGTCAATAGACTACAAGTCATTTGCCTCGTCAGAGTAGTACAATGACTATGCCTGAGCGAGATTCGCGAACAATGGGAAGCATTTCGCTACCAGCGGAACGACGCTATTAACAAGGGGTGTGGGAAACTCACCCTATTGCTTCAGATATTGCCATCGTTTGCAGCTAGAAAGAACCTGAACAAATCAAGCAGTCCCGTTAGTCCTTTTCCTTCCCGATAAACTCCCATGAAGCTGAACATACCTATCATAGCTCACCTTCAATTGTTTTCGTTACGACGCCTTACAATCTGCAACTGCTCCACTACCCAACCTAGGCTACTGCGCCTCATTAGCATTCCTTGACGGAGGGTTAGCTACTTGTTTACGCCACTGGGCTTGTGTGACGGCGCTCCTATTCTGCTCGACCAGCCAGCCGTGCTATATCTTAGCCTGACGACGGACAACAAGGTGTACACAGAAGAATGATTTCTGCAAAAGCGGGTGGGCCGAATCCTTGAACAAGGTCCGAATCTTCTGAGAAATCGAAACAACTCTCGAGGAATCGAACCAGTTACCGAAGTGCAAATAGAAGCCTGAAGTCTTATCAGCCTTTCTAACGACTATTACCCTTTTTCATCGTTAGCAGGAGGTCATTCGCTAAATTACACTATACTCAATTGGGAAAGAGAGCATCGTCAGCAGCGAGAGCTTCCGCCTATCCATGAAACTGCTTGACATCAGATTCTCATCGAGTCTGCTAGTTGCAATTTGCAGGCTGTTGGGATAGCTTGTTGCAAAATTAAATTGCCACTCTTTGGTACCCAAAACTCAATATTGCAGGCCTGATTTGGAGACCAAAATATTTTGAAATTCGTTTTTGACTCACAACTGTTTGTTTTGCCTACAAAAAGCTCAAAAGCAAAAGGTCTCACAGCTTGTGCAAGAACTTCTAGCTGCAAATGACAGGGACAATATGCGGACTCTCTATACTTACCTCAATGAGCCTCCAATGTCTATGAAGAGGGTTTCCCCTTCTTCATAGACCGTCTTTAAGATGCTCTTTCCTAGGAGCAGGATCGACTTACAATGTATGTAATGTGAACTTGAGCCTCGATCACGATTTTTACAGCGAATGGTTTGCAAAAGCTGGCTTATCTATTCAATAAAAGAAGCCCAGAACGGAGCCTGGGAAAAATCCGGCCTTCAAAAGCAATAACAAAGGAAAACGGGATTTTATCCGCTTAGAACCATCGCGCTAACCGAAGCATAACCATTACACCCTCTGGTAGTTTAATTACGCAGCTACGCAACACTTAAAGAGAACAAAAATATCAGAAATCCCACTTTTTCAGCCCTTTTTGATCAAGAAAAAAGCCCTATCCCAAAATTGTTATGTATGAAGAAATACATGAACAAGCAATAACACCCATATGAGAATACTCCGAAGTCTAACGCGCTCGGGAATAATAATATTCACTTTCCTATATGAGAGAAGAAAAAGCCATAAGGCTCTGTAAAGTGGCAATTATTGAGCCACAGCCGCTACCATAAACGTCCTTACCAGGACAACGAGATTCCTATTCACTGCGAAACTATNCTCGGGAATAATAATATTCACTTTCCTATATGGGAGAAGAAAACGCCATAAGGCTCTGTAAAGGGGCAATTATTGAGCCACAGCCGCTACCATAAACGTCCTTACCAGGACAACGAGATTCCTATTCACTGCGAAACTATTCTGAGAGGTCGTTTAAGGTTTTCGTGGAGTCAGACAATACCGCGCTGAAGTACCCAATATGGCAAGCTCACACAGAAGAACCTCAGTTTATTTGAAGTATGCAGTAGAACTCTAGAACCTGGTCAATTACCAAACCGACTACCACTACCACCACAACCGCTAGCCTACCACCAATCTATACAACCTACTTACACTGCTACCACTACTCTCCCTGAGCGAACTTTCAGTGTTCTGCAAAACGCACCTCCCTACGATCTCGAAGGGGCACTCAGTATCTGCGTAACGGACAGTTTACCTACACCGTATCGGTTTGGGAAGCTCTAAACAACTTTGCCGTCTAGTAAGCCTATAAGCATTTCTGAAGATCCGAGCAAAAACTCTTGAGCAGAGCAAAGCAGATTTAGGGTTCTATATCGAAAAATAGGCTATACGGCAGAAGCTGCTTTTGGTCCCAGCTTATTCAGTTACTATGTTTGTTCGTGAGAGCTAGTTCATCTCCTGGGTATATTTAAAGCCGACTTAACAGGCTAGGCTCCCTCCCCATCGCATATACAACAGATGCGACTCAGGAACAAGAACAACTTCTGAATCCTACTTCCGATTTCCAAATATCAAGACTTGGCTTCCAAAGGAGCTGGGTTTGAGCATGGAAGAGAATCCCGTTTCCTACGAAATCTCTCGCTAGTATCAAATCAAAAAGTAATCGAGTAATTAGCTGCAAAGCGCTCCCGTTCTGAGAATCTCACATAAAAAGACATTCTGCTACTTATGACGGAAACGATGCTCATTATCAGAAGAGCCGCAATATTGCCGATGGAAAGAAAAGCAAAATGAAAGATTTCACTTATTTCATAGGGGAAACTGAGTGCATCAAAACGAAAAGAGGAAACAAGTATCAAATTCTTGAAGGAGTTCTCATTAAAGCCACTGCGTATAGAAGCAGAAGATCGTAAAGCCAGTACGATAGAGAACATGAACAAAGGAGAAACCCCGGGTAACGCTGAATTGCTTCATGTACTTCACTTGTTCCAACGCCAAACGACTATTTTCATTTTCTCCAGTTTCCATGCCAACCCATTACCAAGTTCTAAGAGGTTTTGTGGAAAACGATTTTAACTCATTCCTGGCTATTTCCTATGGGTTTACTTCTTCCCTCCTCTCTCCCAGTGGAGTTGCACTTCTCCGATCTCACTTCCGGAGTAGGAAAAAATGTTGTATTATTCAGAACCTGTTTTATTTTATTCAAAGAATAAGTGCCACCGAATAATCAGTATTGGGAATATTCACGCCTGCTTGTTTTCAAGAAGATTGAAGAAAACAGAGGGTAACAAAAGGCTCCTTCGGATATAAGAAGCACTACAGTAAGACTATCTAACTACGGTAATGCGAATATTTCCAAGAAACTATAAAAAATGAATAAAAACCGAATGTACCTGTCTAATCATCAGCTCATCGAGAATCTGTGATTGTGATGCACCTTCCGGTATTGGCATCTCGAGCTGCTCTATCTCGTCGAGCGAGAGCCGACGGCACATTTCGCGTACCGTCACCAGTTCCCATTCTCGATTCAGTAATGATGAGCCGAATAACGGCGCCGGCCTGTCGCCTAAAATGCGAATTTTTGAACATTTACAGTTGTCTTGGATCTTTCTTCAAACTTAAACTAAAACTTTAAACTTAGCCAGACCATAACCTCTGTTAGACCTGTGGCAACACTAATTTAACATTAAAACACACTATACGACGAACCCTCGTTGGTCATCAGAATTTCCTGATCGATTACTTCTCCTATGGCAGTAACCATTTGACTAAGCCGTCGTTGGCTGATGTTTTTGGCATGTCCGAGCGGCATCGACAGTCGCCGTACCGAAGCCTTCAGGTCAGAAAAACCCGAAAATGGTGGCGGCGTGGTACCTTCATCGCACGATGTGCAAGCACTGATGGTAGATGCCAACGAGGTCTTCGAAGCATGGACCTTATCGACGAACTGGGAAAACATTAGAGCTTTGAATAGGCAGTTGTACAGGATAATATCAGCTGGGTGCTTGCACCAGTAGACCAAACAACATGAACCACACCAGGGGTAACCGGGAATGTGTACAAGTCTTTCTGGTAAAAGACACACACTCAGAGCTCAGGCATAGAAAGAATAAACGACGAGACCAATCGCAAAAACGGGAACGCCCATGCCATCTTCGGAACGCGGATATCTCAAGCACCGCCTACTTCGAATGGGTAAGTCACTGCTTAACTGCCCTTGCCGCACAAGCAATAGGACAAGGAGAAGTAAATCTAATCATTGTAGAGAAGAAATGTGAGGCAAGCGTAAAAAGTGAAGACTTTTTTTGCGGCTTACCACATGCCCTACTTCCGAGGGCTCGTGACGTGGCGCTAAAGAAGCTCCTACTTGCAATTACTTCACTTTTTATCCTTTACGTCAGATTCCTCCATGAAAAATAAATTTTTAGTTCAGGAGATTCCACCCGAACCCGACTGAATCTGAGGCCAAAAACAAGTTAAAATACAAAATTGTTGTCAGCCTTGATGATACCCAAAGCAGCTCGGGTTGAACTGCGATGGGAATCGGGTGAATGGCATCTCACACTACTACCCGTTTACATTTACCCGATTTTCAGTTCCTGACAACTGTAGTCGACGCCATCTGCATCACCAGAACAATATCTGATCTAATACGATTTTCTGCGTATTCTCTTGATTCATCCATTTCACAAACAAAGTTTGTCAACATGCAAAAACAAATAAACGCCCGAAATTGCCAGAGAAATCCCATTGGAGCCACGCATTGAGCGGAGTAATTGAAATATTTCATGAAATTCCGCCACGCATGCCAAGCCTGACTTCCGGCATCAAGTCCGCGTAGCTGTTGATAGACTCCAGTTGTTCGGGTGAAATCACCAAACGAGTAAAATATTCTCGACATCGCGTGTGTGAGATTTTTTTTTGCCTTGAAAATCGTGCCCAGTAGAAGTTTTCTAGTAAACAAGGAGCACTAGTAAACAGAAACCCAGTAAATATTTCACTAGTTAGGCCATATAAGGTAAGGCTCACATATGGGAATGTTCCCTCGTATAGTCCTGACGCCAACCCACGCTTTCTGACTGGTGAGCCCAAGCAAGTCATAGCAATGGGTTGCCTTCCGGCGAAGGCTCTATCTCTGTATCTAAATCTACGCACAATTTAGGGTCCTTAGTATGTACTCCTTGCCCTCACCAAACAGGACACTTCAATCACTACGCCCGCGCAGTCGTTTCCTGTGTCCTTTAGAGAGATTGTGTTAATTCAGAGAACATGGTAGTTGCGTGTTTGCCAGAACGTTTTTGTTTACAGCTCAGTACTCTATTGGTTATTTTCTAACGGATTTACACCTGGTCGACTTGATGTATAGCGGATTGACAATAGGCAATGCCGCTTTTCCAGATTCTGCTCGCCCCAATGGAGCCTGCCACTTCCAAGGCCAACGACGCTCCACGCTCCAGAGGATGTTAGGTACTGGCTCAGATATCAGGAAATCACCCAAGCCTGAAGAACACTTGTAGCCCAGCCGAATTCTGGTGAAATTACAACGGAGCCCAATTTCTCATCCTTTAGCTAATCCATTAAACATAGAGCGCTCTTGTTTCACATTGGTAACTACTTCTATAGCTTTGTAGTAGCCAATGGCAGCGCTACTACTTCCGAATGCCATGAAAACACTTTACCAACGAAAACCTCTGTCAGACATCAACAACATCACCGATCACGTCCCATTATAGCTTAAACATTCTCGCAGAGCTACAAAATTCCCATATGACTTCGTCACAAACCTAAAAATTTCCATATGACGCCCACCGAGCTGCTTACGCAAAATAAAGCTTCTCTGCACTAATAGCTTAGAAAATTGCCGCCGATAGCGAATTGGTGGGAATAAGTCAAGAATATTCAAGTGTCTCTCAAAGGCTACTTAAAATTCTGGTTGAAAATATCTTCCTGATACAGAGCACCATAGCTCAGCTATTCAAATAATTTTCATGAAAAACATCTTCAGCTCGATAGCAAAAGCATTCGTCGGTTTTCATTTGACAAGATTTGTAGGGACATTTCTTTTGAATACTCAGAAAGTTGTTCATTTTTCCCCCACTACAACCACCACAGCACACGACAATCATCTACAATTGTATGGGTGAAAACATATCCATTCTCGTTCCCACTAGAGCTCATGAAACACCTTCATCTTGCTATCTTACAATTAGAAGCCTGGAGTGGCTTAGCCACAAACAGGCGCATATAAATTTAATTCACGAAATTTCTCGACCGCGGAATGCTAAGGCAGGTGAAAGGCATCAGTAACTTTGGCTTTCAAACCCAACAAAATCGATGAGAGCTGGAAAGCGAAATCAGGGTAAATTAAAAACTGTCAAGCTATTTTGTTGAAGCTGTCAATCAAATATAGAGCACTTTCCAGCATGGAAAGAAAACGATTGAAACGAAACCGAAGCTCGTTCACTCGTGTTCTCAACCTTTTGTTCTTTCATGTTTCTGGAAGGATTGATCTGCAGGAGGAGTGCTCTTTAATCACCTCCACTGACTAGCCGAAAACCATGCGAAATACATCGCAGCTTCAGAATTCGCGAACTGTAGGAGGTCCCTTCACCTTCAGTGGATCTGATTAAGGACCACCAAAACGGAACTTCGGAATTCTCTAACATCTTCTTGCAGTCAGTTCATGGGACCACTGGAACAAATCATTTTCCCTTAACTTGGAGTATTTCCAAAAAATAAAATAAAACTACAAGTCTAAGTTATTTCCCACGACAACAACGTAGGTGAATCATGAAACCCTTGGAATTTTAGCCTCCAAGATGTTGGTGGAAAGGGGCGAAGTACACTGTAATACTTATGGGAACCAGCTATAGTCTCATAGTAAAGAAAAAAAAGAATTAAGGTAAATAATACTGGACTGAGGGCTGATAACAAGGTGATTTTTACTTTCAACACTACATATGTTGACAAGAAGCCAAACCATGAATGTGAAATCTGCTTCCTCCGTTCAAAATGTATTATCAGGCCATCTCCCGGCAAGTAAAGAATGATTACCCCTCATAGGGTATAGGAATTCTCTGGACACAAACCCCGGAAGAGGATGAGATTGAGCAGACTCATGGCACCACAGTTCAGACAAAAAAAGCGCAGTAAACAATTAATTGTGGTGATTATCAAGGGTTCCCAATCGGGAAACAAAATCGGATCAAGCATAGATTAACAGACCAACGATGCGAATTGTAAACAATCATCCAAACCAACGATGACCATTAAAAACTACTTGATGAATCAGCATTGCTCGATCACTTGGATCAATTGAGGGGAGGGAAACGGGATCGTGGGAAATAACTTTTTGGGATGGGCCCCACCCTTCGCTTCCTTTGCGAATTCTAGAATCACTTTACTTTCATATAAAATACATGAACTACCCCAGCCTATTGGTCTATGATGACTCGGATGGGAGAAAACGATTGGCTGCTTTCCCCAAACAAGTTTAGGTCCATCTCTTTGGCAAATACTTCTGGTAACTCCCGCTTTGCAACTTCGTCAATTCGCAAACGTTCCCTACGATTAGCTTTCACTGGTAGTGTGTACTTCATTAGTATATTAGACAACTTGTTTTCTGAATGAATGGGCCTCTTTATATCAGTTCAGGGAACTGATGTGAAACCTATTTGGCTTATCTCACCATACATGTCGTCTTTAAACCAAAAACATTGCTATCGCTGAGAGTTGGAAATCCAATGATGCCGAAAATTCAGATGAAAAACAAATTTTGGCACTTCATAGAAAAACATTAAGTTCAACTTGACAACGGGATATGTACTCTGTTCCGAGGCCTTTCTGACAAACATCATTCGTCACAAGCTGGCGATTGCGAGCAAATTGGCGGGAAAACACTTTCCGAAAGGGTTGGGTGTGTAAATGGACGGGAGAGAAAACAGAACATCCCGAAAATCTTTGAAAAGATACCCTATTCCGTTGAATACTACGAGAAAACTCTGGATTTCCATACTATGCGCGGGTAGATTTCCAAAGATGACAGACCAATACGCAGGCCAACATTCTTTTGAAAATCGTGGTAGCAGAGATGCATTCAACATTATGTTCCGTAATCTGACCGGAATACAAATTCCACTCTCTATCTCACAGTTGAAAGGATTCCAAATGATCTCGGTCGGCCTCAGATACACGGGAGGATATACAGGCTTGGAACTAACTTGTTTTCCAGACGTAGAAAAGTGTGGCCAGGTAGTACTGATTTGCCTCCCTTTTTGGGAGTTTGAATGAGAACCAACCGGCACCCCAGGCTGAAGGAAACCCTCTTTGCCATCACTATTTCAGTTTGAGCTTCTTCCGCAAAACCTTCAGCTATGACTGCTTATCAACCGTGACTCACACCCTAATATTAAAGAATTTTATTAAATGAGGTAGAAAGTGTCATCAGCTCACCAAACATCAAAGTCATGTGTGTGAGTAATAGGTTTCCATGAATTAGATTCACATTTAGTAGCTAATTTTGAAAAACCGCTAATGATTGGAGCAAATGAGCTCATTTCGAGTTTCTGTGGGGAATAGCGGACAGCCAGTCAGGGGCAAGCTAGAATTCCCCTGTCGAGGTTCTACATACTATCAATCCACTAATATCACCAAGAAACGAAAGGCAGTGAGTGAGCTTAGATAAAAAGTGGGAAAGAGGTCGGTAGAAGATGGTCCGTCCATGACCAGGAACCCTGCAGATTCCCTAGGTAAGTCGTCGAGGCCCTGCTTGCAGTCTTAAGAAGAGTCCAAGGGAGAAGAAAAATCTATGGTCGTTCAAATGGATACATTGCTTCAAATGACATCTTATCACATGAAATATGCACCAATTTCCTCTACTGGTCAGAAGGAAGCTCACAATTTTCTTCGGCCATTTTCCCCACCACGCCCCTACCGGCGCACCCTCGGCAGCGTAACATTACAGATTGACTTCCTTGTTCATTGTCCAGTCGTTTCACTGTGCACATGTTCCCAGAAGGCACTTCCTGTTTTTCATTCTCGGAAAACTGGTGAAAAGCCATAGTACAACCAGCATGGCAATAAAATAAAGACTTGACACTTAGTCAATCACCTGCACCTTCTCACTTGTCAACGTTTCGAAGCGTACGCTCCATTTCAGTAACTCCCACACTTACCCATAGGCAGGGTAGCATTATGAATTGAATTTCGAGAAATTAACCTACATTGTAAAACACAATCCACCCTCTCTGAGAACACAGTTAGAACCCCTTTATACACTGGGCAACTCTAGTGAAGGAAGGAGATCAAGGACCAAAGGTGATTCAGAGCTGAAAGTAGCACAACGCAGCCCTATAAGGCATATAAGGCATGGTCAACCATGGTTCCGTGGATTCCAGTTAGTACGAACCTAGAGAAATGATGATGAACCCAAAAAAAAAACTAGGTCGTCCTGCTCATGAATACTGCCTAAATAGGCATACAACTAGGTTAGGGCAGTTTTTCAGGCACCTGCAATGGTGCTTGGAATCGAATTCCGAGTATGCACGTTGGGCATGGTAACCCCATTAGCTCAAGCAAACTAGCACGAGCAGCTAGAAAGGATTTGTGGGACCTTGGCAAGGCCATTCCTGACAGTTGAGGTCTGACCACTATAACTCCTCTCAATATCTGATTTTTTCATTGCCACAAATCATACGCACACCACTTTATCAGACTGGGAATTATTCGCGAAACTGCTAATTCCATTCATAAATAAAAACTCCGTGCCAATAATCCAAATTGGGTCTCGCTGAAGCAGTCACTGATTGACCAAAAACCTCCCCATGCTCAATGAATCCACTTCCATTGCCATTTTACAAATGAAATGCACTTTAGCTGACCAAGATAACGATGCTATTCCCTTTCGAAAACACATCGTTGAAGTACTCTCGTTTACATGGTCGATAGAAAATCTATTTAGGCACATTTGGAGGATCGACGCGAAACCACAAACCTTTTATACGGCTATCCTCGTAGGCTCCGACAGATTTTGAGCGCTGTTGCTTTGCGATTTTCTTCTTCCTGAAAAGGCGCTTCGGAATGAAACGTCGTCGCTTCTGTGGTGGACGAATATACTCGTCCAAGTCGATTCGTTCAGCTGGAGGTGTAAATGAAAGTATCGGAATTGCCATAGGTGTTTCCGGCGTGCACCCAAGTGGTGTGTCCTCACTGACTGATCTCAAAAACGATGGTAATGATGGCAAATCGTCCAGAGACAGTAGAGGCGAGTTTCCATTTTCTTCAATACCAGAGTCTTCAGAAGTGTTGGACGTCGTCGATTGAAGCATCAGTCGTGTACATTGCGGTGCGAACTGACCATGAATCTGGTCCATTAGCTCGTCTTCGGCTTCGCTCTCAGCTGAACTGGTGGTGCGTGTATCACCTTGTTCCATGGCTTCGCGAAATGACTTCATCAACTGTTTCACATCGTACTGTGTCAAGGTATATTCGGGGAGACTCAGTCGTGTCCCTTTGTGAATAGTTGCAGGTGGGGTACGCGACTTCAATGTGTTTGCTCGAGCTCGCTGTGGTGCTCGCCACCTTTCAGATTCAACAGATGCTGCTTGACCCATTTCAACAGAATATTTTTGTAGCCTTAGTAGCTGCAGAAGTGGACGGTCGTTGTACACGCGAATCCGCTCGGATTTGTATCTTTAAAAAGCTCATTGAAAGGACGTCGGAACGACCACGATCGAGTAAACCGCTAGCAAATGACGAAGGACTCGAAATCATGAAGTCTAAGGGTAAAAAAAAAGTGTATGATGGAATATTAGCACTTCTCTCAACCAAGATACTGTGCAGACTTTGAGAATGTTCCAATGAGCACCGGAACGAGAGTCCATCAATTCTTGTAAGGGAGAATGAGAGTTCATAAGGATCGAGATCAAAGAGCTGGCAGGCAGAACAAAAAAATTCGGGCTAAAAAGGGAAGTGAACGTCAAGAATAAGAACAGAAAGTCGTATGAATCCAATAAAGCTTACGAAAATGAATTGTTACAGAGTAAAGTCAGAGGCAGAATAACGCCCTCACACTGATAAAAGATGTCAGCCAAAGGTTATTTAACCAATTCTTATCAAATTAATCGAATAAACAAATATGAAGGCTTAAAAGGGCAACGGCCTATAAAAAGTGATTTTAATTTCTAGACACTGATGAACCCATTTCATGTGAATGCAGCCATGGACACCCTTTGCGACAATGCCCTATCGTTAAGAGATAAGATACTTAAGAGAGTTCGATAACACCTATCGCTAACAGTATTTACTTTCAGGGCAAAGACATTAGAAAAGGAGAAGGTTCGTGGATGGCGCAATAGGGAAAAAAAAGAAGCTGATTGCTAGAGACACAAAATCATGCAGGGAAATACCTTACCAGGGAACAACTACCTGGTTCAGAACTAGAACGTTGAGATGAACTTGACAAAGAAGTGTTCTCGTCCGCTGCCCTACGTCTTAGACCCGTCCTTGAACCACTTCCTTTTTGGGCAATTACGAAGAAATGATGGCAATTACTTGGAACACTTCAAGTGTATTCTGGTCAAATAAGGAAACAAAACAAATCAACAAATTTGAAAGCTCTCGAAGAAGACAAGTTACATGAGAGGATCAGATTCAAATAGGCGAACGAGGGGTGAAACTGTTCCGACTAGACGAGGGGGGTTTGGGTTCAGGAACCTAATACAATGTTTTCTTTTGCGCTGACTAATTCTCCTTCACTAAAGCTGATGAACTGTTTGAGAAGCTGTGTTTTCTTCCTAGACCTCAGTTGAGTCACCATTTAGCTTATCAGCGCCAACAGAAATTCGTAATGAGTCAAGCAGTAACTGACGACGTCATATGGAAAGCCTCGTCTTATCTCCAGACTCAAAGAGGCTACAGAAAGGGCAAGTCGAGTACGCCGATGTGTCGTGGTACGGAATGGCCGCCAGTCGCCAATACACACGCCACCACTTCTAACGGTGGAACTCTCTATCTAACTGATAAGCCGATGGACAAATAGTTGTTTCGAGCATTTCCCGCCGCGGAACGGACGTAAAAGTCGACGACTATAGCGAATTTCAGGGCCAATTCAATACCAACAGAAGAACTACGATTCCTTAATCGGAATTACATGGACGGTAATCTTCCCATGGTCAATCCCCATGGTAAATGACCACGAGGAGCCCCAAAGAGGAGATGGCGAACGTGAACAAGAAGGACCTTACCAAAGCTAAGGTGATGGCAGGAGATGCCGTTGATAGAAAGAAGTGGAAATGGCCGACGAGAACAGCGGACCCTGTGACCGCGCGATATTAACGCCCGGAAGAAGAAGAAGAAAATGATGCAGAAGAGTAATCTTCCCCTTGTAGTAGCTGAACGACAACAAGTGGAATTCAAAGAGATCCTGGGCACTAAATTCCGATGAAGGGTGAGCGGTATAGACACGGTTGACGAACCCAACAGTAAGCGTAGACATCAGTTTTGCTGGCAAAGCAAAGATAAACGGTGAGCACTATCTCACCTACTGGTGCACGGCTTGAGGGCGTTTCCTTCTGGGGTTCCCCGTCTGTAGTGACCGTTTATCAAACCATGCATGCGTTAATCATGCATAATTCATGTGAGGAAACTTCTCGCTTTGGGAATCATAAGAACGTCGGAAACTTCCACTGAAAAGGAAACAACTCAGCCTTGAAAAGGTGACGTGTTCCTCTTCCCGATATCAGCACTGATTCAGCACACGTCGAACTTTTCTGAAACCCTAATACCTGAGGGGTTAATGGTTGAACTGAGGGTGGAATTCCGTTCCGTTCTTATTTATACCTGGACAGTATCGCGGAAGGTGTCCTTGATGAAACGACAGCAACAGTCTCACCCTATGACTTTTTTCCAAGCACGTGATAGCTGTTTATTGGATACTAAACGCACTTCTCGCAAACAGACTACAAGAATTCTTTTCTCAGCAAACCCTGTCTACATAAAAACTGAAACGATAACAGTCTCGAAGCAAAAACACGTTGTTTAACTGGACATTGAAGGACTGTGTTCGCTCTGCGAATCCACTCAACAGTAATTCATCAACACCGATATCAAGGTCCCGAATCTCAGGGATATGATAAACTGTGCGGCTCATTGATCATTCTCACGTACTGCATTTCTCTCTACTCAACCCATAACTATACAGAACTACTGAAAATAAGTGTCCCTAAAGGGGAAATACAACATAGCATCTAAAAGTAAATGATGCCCGATGAACTCAATTTGACGAGGGAGGAAAGCTTATCATTTCCAGGATTCATATAATCAGGACAGAAATTGAGAAATACTACCGAATCATTTTGGGACACAATCCGACGAACTTCTTCTCACGGTCAGGACGAGTTGATACCGTGGAGAGATCCTCAGAACGGGTTCTGCACAGGTCGTTACCACACCGGCATACCAGAAGAACCCACCCAGCAATGGTGAACGAACTTTCCAATACATACACAGGATATAACGATGAGAGGAACTAGAGAATCATGCAAAGCTGATGGCGGATGTGACGTAATTTCAACCGCTAACGTGAGAAGGAGTCCCGTAAGCCGACCTCGTGATCCTCCAAAAATCTATTTGCCAAGCCCGCGTGATGACGTCGCCCGTGTATATACAAAAAACAGGGGGAACTTTTAAATATCACATGCAACGACGAAATATGACTGATGAGTTGGCCAAGGAATTCCGGTATAAACGGCAATTGAACATGGACGAATAACTTCAGGCTAAATATATCAGAAGAATGTCATTGAAATTACCTAATTAGCGTCAGTCATAGGAAGTCATACTGTAGTGGCCAACACCCTTAAATTAGTGACTGTAGCGTGACTTAGAGTCATAGATCCTAAGCCGAACATCGGGGAACTTGACTAGTCCAAAAAAAATTACCTGCAGAAACCTATAAGGATTTGCTGACATAGAGACGAGTCATTTTCATGCTATTGGGGATTGAAACTTGCAAGCTAGCCCAAGCACCAACCTAAAACCAGAGAGAGCCAAAATACTCTCTCACGCCCTTCATTACTGTGTATAGTCCTGAAGATGAACGTCGGAGACGAGCGAGTATAGTAAGGGATTAGGCGGTGGAGAGTAATGAGAAGTCACACTGTTGCCCATAAGAACTGGCCGGACACTGTGAGGGTGGAACGTATTCGTGCCTGTTTTATATTCTCCTCACTGATAAGTGTCTTCCAGAACGCCGAGGGAAACGCCCGCCCACATATGATGTGTTCCGGCAGAAAAAAAAACAGTTTATCAGCACCGGAACTACAGTTTAGGCTTCAAGATACTATCTTAATCCCTTCGTGACCTTCAGAAAACCCTCCGTCAGGCAAAGCTTTCAGTGATAAGGTAATCTCCAGCGTAATAGTACCTACCCAGTGTTATACGAAATTGATATAGTCGACGTCCCGCGTTCCTTAATGGCCGGTAGTGCTCATACAAGTATTTCAAAGGCGATCATTCTTACTTTTTCCAATTCTGCCTATCTACCATTACTGTGGTGAACATGCTCAATTGAGGGAGTGGAAGTATATGGGCCAATCCCAATTGGGAAAGCAGTGAATTGGATCTAGATTGCGTTACTCGGCTGAATGCAATCAGACAAGGACCTGCACAAATCACACCGTCCAGGCAAAAAACGTATTCAGGTGTCTTGCCTTATCTACAGGACTCATTCCGAGGAAGTTATCACAGACCACTTATCAAACACCTCATTTTCAGGGCCTGTTCTTTTCAGCTTCTTTCTACAAATTCTAACCATTGATAATAGGATAAAGTCTGATTCAGACAGGGAGGGAGCTCTTGTCTCCTTGGTCAACACCTGAAGCGCCTGAAGACTGCAATTACTCATGGCGCCGTTGCTAATGTGTCATCAGTATGAACAACAATGACACTTTTGAAGCTTACTTGTTGCTCAGCATTGATTATACTCGTCTTATAGAATAGTAGTTTTCCAGAGCCTCTTCGATGTATACCCGACAAGGTTGAATAAGGTCATGATGTCCCTGGGCCTGCACAAAATACTTCTGATTGTTGGAACAGCTTTTTCGTAGTTCTCTGTTTGCTGCATTCAAATACATTTCATTCCAATCACTTTTTTTTCATGACATTCCGAAATTTCCACTAGATGGACGAGTTTCTCAATCCAAAGTGACGTGGGAAACTACCGTAACATCTGGGTCAACACTGTCACTAGCCAACACTCGTGAATCAAACAAAGAGACAACTAGTGCCTTTTGAAAATCCGAATGAACGCGAGTACAGCTTCTGTGTACGCCGAGATATTAGTCAGGCCATGAGGTGAAACGGAAGATAAGAAGTGTTCCGGTACATATTCCCGACCCCCCCCCCCTTGGTGGTCTCGTCTGAGAACAACATGTTGAAATAGTCTATGCGCAAATAATATGAGCAGCAATAGGTGGAACCAAAAATGACTCTCAGAGGACCTTCCGTCTCTACCTTCGATGGTAATGCATTACTGTGCGAGATTGGGGTCATCTGTTGCGAACCTCACTTGCTTCTTCAAAGCACGCTCAGACTCTGTTTGGATTTGCAGCTT